AGACGGTTTTTATTTCAACCTTAGTGATTCTATGGTGTTTTTTTCCCCCAGATTTACCACCTACAGAATTAATATTAAAAATCAAAATAAAAGGCGAGTAAAGCTGCAAAGCCCAATCCCAGCACCCATCCTTGTAGATCATCCTCTCCTTCCACCACAAGCAACAACCATTTGTTCCCATGTCTTACTCCACAGTTATTTCAAAGGAGGGGAAAACCTTTGTTTTCTCCAGCAGCAGCAGAAGCAGCAGCTTCACCTCTTTGCCGCGGCTCCCGGGTCACCTTCCTTCACCTCCTTGCGGATTCCTTTAACCACTTCTAGGCTGGCAAAGCGCCACTTTCTCACCCAAAACTCGCGCTCACTCTTTGCCCACCCCACAAAATCCATCCATCCATCCATCCATCCATCCCCCTGCAGCTGCGTCCCTTCCCTCACCGTCCCGCTCGGCCCCGGGATTTGGGGGACAGTCCCTGCCAGATTCCCGGAGGGGGGAGGCTCGACGTGCCCTTGTGGCCCAGCTGTGCCCCAGCCAAGCCTTTCATCGGGCCGTGGCCATTTACATATTGATGGACTTATTACTCCCTTAAATCACCTGCTAATGGGTCCCCTCCCTCCCTGAGAGGTAGATTAGAAGCTCTGCCCAGAAGTGCCCTCCTTAAGTATCTCGGTTATCCTCACCCCCCTCTTAAGGTGTTAATTAGGGGCACAAGTCAGGCACTGGGGGAGGGAAAAAAAAAAAAAAAACCTGTTTGAGAGAGAGAAAAGGAAAAAAAGGCCAATAAACATCCCTTTGGATTAGCGGGGATGAGGTGTATTTGTTTGAGGGAGTGCAGGAACCCACACCTTTCCTGCTCTGCGAGGGGTGCCGAGGAGCGGGACCACCTGGATGCTCCACTTCCCACCCCGAGTGAGATCAAGGTTTGCTCGGCCGAGCCCCAGCTGAAAGGCTTGGGACAAAGAGCAGCTTGGGCAGGTGGGGGAACTCCCCCCCAGAGAAACCCAGCCCCAAACAGAGGAGAAAACAAACCCCAAAACCGCCCCAAAGCTTTCAGCGTTGTGTTACGGCCACAGAGGTTTTCACCTGCTCCCTCTGCTCGGGGCTTTCATCCTTCTGAGCCAAAATGGGCGGGTTTCTGCTCTGTCGGGAGAGGGGAGGATAAAAAAACCCGGGAGCTTTTCTTGCCTTGATGCCAGTGAGCGAATTCGAGGATTTTTGTAACCCTTTCTTGCGCTGTGTGACTGTGGAGAGGGTTTGTTCCTCAGACGAGTGGTTTTAGGGGCATTGGAGTCTAGTTTTTAAATGATGTGAAGATCAGTGGAAGCAAGGGGACCGTGAGCATCTGCTTCGAAGAGTTATTTAAAAACAAAAGGGGTATTTCTTGTGCAACAGCCTGGGGTGAAACTGATTTCTGAAAGAACTTAGGGAGAAAATGAGAAGAAAATGGGATTTGCTTCCCTAAAAAAGTCATTTCACCACAAATGGCAGCAAGAACCTGCTCTGTGTCCCATCCTCCCCACTTCTTCCCTTGGAAGATTAATTCCTTTATGTCCCCAGGTGCAGCAGGGAGGGGCTTTCTGGGGATACATCTGCCTGGAATCCGCATCCCCAGTGCAGAAAAATCACCCAAAGGAAAACCACTGCAGAGTTGGAGAAGGACTTTGGAGAGACAGGACAAGGGGGAATAGCTACGACCTGGCAGCTGGCAGGGATAGATTGGATACTGGGAAGGAATTCCTCCCTGGAAGGGTGGGGAGGCCCTGGCACAAGTTGCCAAGAGAAGCTGTTTCTGCCCCTGGATCCCTGGAAGTGTCCAAGGCCAGGTTGGACGGGGCTTGGAGCATCCTGGGCTAGTGGGAGGTGTCCCTGTATCTGCTGGAAGCTGGAAAGCTGTGCTGCCAGCAGCCAGCTGTTATGGGAGGCTGCTCTTCAGTTTTTATTATTATTACTATTTACTATTACTAATTTACTATTATTACTATAAATAACAATATTTAACTTTGTGGAGCTTTTTGGCATCTCTTCCATTTGTTTGAGGGAGTCCAGCCCTGTTATAAGCAGGAACAGGGAGTAAAGAAGAGGTGCTAAAGCTCCTCATCCACCCAAACCTGCTTCTTTCAGGGACTGTCCTCTTTGCTTGGAACAAGAGGGAAAGGTTTCCTGTCTTTTTTGAAGGGAATAATTTCATCAGAGAGGAGAATGGTGGGGGAAGTGCATCCTGAGATGCCTTTTCCAACAGGTGTCACTGTTTTGTGCGTCCTGTGCCAAAGGAAAACAGGACTGTGTTTCTCCAGCTCTTCTCCCTTCGGATCAGAGCAGGAGATCCAGATCTGGACACACCAACCAGTCCAAACTTAAAGGCTTCCCACATTCCATTTTTTTCCCAAATCTCACGTGTTCTACTTCCCATAGGGATTTGTTGCTGTTGGGTTGGTTTTGCTTAACTGTGGTTCTGAAAATCCGGAGTGTGGAGACGGATCCAGGAGGGACCCTGGTGATGCTGCCTGTATATCCCTTGGGGAAACCCTGCTTCCCACCCATCTTCCAGCTGCCTTTGCCCTGTACTGGGGGCACAGAGAGCTTTTGCTGCCTGTGACCACATTTACAGGGCTCAGGGGCTGTTTATCCACGTTTCTGAGCTGCTCTTGGCACTAAATGAGTATTTTGACTTCCCAGGATGATGAAAACCTAACGTGGGTTGAGGATCTGGGGGCTGAAGGATGCACAGAGCCACGGGCAGGCTGAAAATCTCCCTCCTAAAGAACTGGTCTTGTTAAATCTCAACAGACATGGGATCAGACTCTCATGATTTTTTTTCCTGAGGAATACTGCTTAAATCCAATTTATTGGTGCTTTACATAGAGAACAAACCCTGGAAGTTCAAATGGTGCAGAAACAGGGAGAGATCCTGAATGCAGATGTGGTAAGAAAACCCCACAAACCCAATGTTTTTGTGAAATCTGGCCATGAAACTAATTATTCTGGAGATATCTGTGTTAGGATCCATCCTGCTGGGCATGAGCCACAGGAGACAGAGGCATCCAGGGCTTCAGAGGCCCCTCAGTGCTGACTTGGGCTCCTCTTGCCTAAGAATGGCTACCAAAAAATGTGGGGGTTTTTAAAAATTTTCCAGGCTGGAAAAGTGAAGAATGTCAAGGCATAAGAAGCATTTCTGGTTAACTTGGCAAGAGAATGGAGAACACGGCACTAACAGTGACAAGAAATGGTACCCAAGGTCTTTTGGACTGAAATAATCACTTTATTAAGGTGTCTGAAGTGCTGAAGAGTGCTGGGCATCACCACAAGGCCACTGTGGGGCTGAAAGGGGTCTGACACCCAGATCTGAATCCACCTGAATAATTCCTGATGCTTTTACTCATAGCCAGGTACCTTCACCACCTCACTGTCACTGACTGTTACTGGGCGTGATCATTATTATGATAATAAAATAACCATATCATCGTGTGTGCTATGCAAGAATTAATTTTTTTAAATAATGTGGTTTAAAAGTACGTGTTTTAGAAGCACTTTAAAATGGGTATTTTTAATTTTTGAAGCCTTGCACAAAGATGAAAGCACGAAACTCGAGCCTCTGAGTCACAAACTCTTTCAGGGGGTGGCTTCAACCCAACTGCTGCTCCAGACACAGCCCTGGGGTGATGAGGCTTGAATGGTCCTTTCAGGTGGTTTAAGGACCATCAGTGTTTTACATCAGCTGGTTTGGGGCAGCTCTGGCTCTTCCAAGCCAGTCCCTGAGCTGGAGGGAAGCTGGGCACGATCCCTTGAACATTTCCTTCTACCTGGGGCCGTGTTCTCCCTCCCTTCCATTTTCTGGACTCGGTTTAGCACCAGCTGGTGTTCTCAGGCTCCTGCCAGAGCTGCAGCTGGGTGGTTATCCTGTAACCCCATCTCCTCCAGCTCCCTAAACAGGCAGCACCAAACACCCAGGAGCAGGGAGCATTTAAAAGTCGTGGGATGCTCCCCTACGAATGGGACACGATGCCCTCGGAGCCACGCAGGGATGTGCTGCTTGGCAGCTGGATTTGGGGTGCAAAGCACTTTTGGGTTGTAGAGGGAAGGCTCCACCATGGGTTTGCATCCCAACCCCCTTCCCCAGGCTGCAGGGAGGCTGAGGGCAGCCTGCCAGGCAGGCATAGGCACCAACCCCACACTCCACACACACCTACGACCACTCGGAGTGGGTGGGCAATGTCAGGAGTTAAAGGGGGTGGGGAAAAAAATGTGTGTTTGCACCTTTCCCTCCCTCCAAGCCAGCCCAACAGGGAGAAACCCCACAGGAACACGCTGCAAAGTGAAGGAAAAATAAGCCTTTATTGTGCATGGAGCAGAGACTGCTCTGACGGAGCAGTGATGGGTCCAGCACAGCCCCTCTGCTGATCCTTCACTCCCTTCTCCAAAATCGGGCAGGAGGGGGTTTTGCTGACACCTGCCCTCCCTAGACCCCTGGCCACAGTGCCCATCCTTGCTCTGGTGGCCTAAATAATGCCTAAAAAGCAGCTGGTTCAATAGTGACGCCAACCAGCCTTTCCCACGGGGTGCTCTGATGGGCCCCCTCACCCCCCCATCCGAAATGCCCCCAAAACGGGCATTTCCCCCCCTCCCGTGGCACAGGAGGGCTCCACACGCGGGGCAGGGACGCAGAGGCAGCTCAGGCTGGTTTGAAAGAGGAATTTATTGGCTCGCAAACAGACGGTGGCATTCCCTTTGAGCCGGGATTAAAAACCCAGTGTGTACAAAGTCCCGGTCCCTCGGAGAGCGCGGGGCAGCGCCCTCGGGGAGGGGGGAAAAAAAACCGCCCGGTCCCGGCGTTATGTACAGCATTAAGTGCCAGCTCAGTATTCACAACACAGTAACGTACTGCAAGAAAAGTCGCTTTAAAGTAGTTCCCTTGAGAAACAACCTTCCCTCCGGCGGGGCCGGAGTCTGTCCCGGCGGGGCCGGGCCGCGTGCCGGTGTCCGTGTGTCCGTCCGTGTGTCCGTCTCAGTGCCGCTGGCAGGTGTGCAGGCGGGACGCGTCCCCGGGGCCGAGCTCCCGCTGCAGGCGGCACGCCAGGCCCTCGGCGCAGTGGCAGCGCTGGAAGATCTCCAGCCCGTGGGAGCCTTTCCGCCGGTGCCGGGTACACACCTGCCCCTCCCGCAGCACCGGCTTGCACATCTTGGACCAGAAGTGGCGGGCGCAGCACAGCCCGGCCGCGCAGTCCGACGAGCGCAGGCACAGGTCGCCCTCCTCGCCTGCGGGGGACAGGGGGGTCAGCGGGGGGACAAGGGACAGGGACGGCGGGGAGGGGTGGGGATCGCTCACGGGGTGGGGTGGGCAGCCTGGGCTCCTCCAAGGAGGGCAGCGGGGCAGGAGGAGTGTCCCGGACTGATCCCAAGGGTGGGTATCCTGAACTGATCCCACAGGGGACACTGAGGCAGAGTGGGCATCCCCGGCATGGGGGAGAGAGGTTCACGGTGGGCATCCCAGAGTGATCCCAAGGGGACAGCAGGGCAGAGTGGGCATCCCAGAATGATTCCACCGGGGACACTGAGGCAGAGAGGGCATCCTGGACTGAGCCCATAGTGGACAGAAGGGCAGGATGGGCATCTCAGGCTGATCCCACGAGGGACAGCAAGGCAGAGTGGGCAACTCAAGCCACCCCTATAGTGGACACTGAGGAAACGACAGTGGGGCAGGGTGGGCATCCTGGAACAATCCCACAGGGGGCACCAGAGCGGGGTGGGCATCCCAGACTGATCCCGTGGGGGTCAGAAAGACAGGATGGGCATCCCAGACTGATCCCACAAGGGACAGCAGAGCAGGGTGGGCATCCTGGACTGATCCCACAGGGAACAGAGGGGAAGGGTGGATATCCCGGACTGATCCCACGGGGGACAGCAGAGCAGGGTGGGCACCTCCCAGAGGCCTTGGGGTCCCAGCAGCACGGCCCCCCTTACCTTTGGCCGTGGGGATCCAGGCGGGAGCGGGTGTCCGTCGGGGCAGAGCCTCAGTGCCGGGCTCCTCCAGCTCGGCGGCTCCTTGGGGAGGCTCCGGGGGGGTGCAGAGACCTGCGGGGGGCAGTGGGGCGGCTGTCAGCCACGGGTGGGATCCCGCCCCCCTCCCACCCCCCTCCCGTGGCCACCTCGAGAGTGCCCCCAGCCCGCAGCCCCCGGCGCTCACCGTTGCTGCAGGTCATGCCGGGGCAGCACATGGCATCGCGCAGGCAGCGCTTGCGGCGCCTCCGGCAGGAGAGGCACAGCGGGGCTCCCCCGCCGCGGGCCGCCCCCCCGCAGAACTCCTCGGGGCCGCAGTCCTCGTCCTCGGCGCACGGGAAAGGCTGGGGGGGCACAGAGGAGGCGGAGGGGGGTCAGCGAGGCCGACACTCCCATCCCCGGGGCGTGTCCCCTCCTCCATCCCCAGTGTGTCCCCGCTTCATCCCCTGGTCTCCTCCATCCCCGAGGTGTCCCACCCCAATTCATCCCCGGTATGTCCCTGCTCCATCCCGGTGAGTCTCCTCCATCCCCAAGGTGTTCCCCCTACTCAATCCCCGCTGTGTCCCTGCTCCATCCCCGGTGCACCCCCTCCATCCATCTCCGATGTGTCCCCTCCCCTGCCTCCACCCCGGCGCGCCTTCCCTGTCCCTGGTGTCCCCTCCATTCCCGAAGTGTCCCCCTGCCTCCTTCCCCGGTGTGTGTGTGTGTGTGTGTCCCACCATCCCCTGTGGGTCCCCTCCATCCACCTCTGCTGTGTCCCGCTCTTCTATCCCCGGTGTGTCCTTCCCCTCCATCACCGATGTCCCCCTCTCTATTCCCGATGTGTCTTCCCCCGTCCTCGGTGTCCCCTCCATCCCCGGTGCGTGTCCCCTTTCCTCCATCCCCTATGGGTACCCCCTCCCTCCATCCCCTGGCCCTGGTGTCCCCTCCATCCCCGGTGTCTCCCCACACCTCAAGTGTGTGTGTGTCCCTCCTCTCCGTCCCAAATGTATCCCTCAACTCCACCCCCGATGCGGTCCCTCTACCCTCGGTGTGTGTCCCACATCCCTCCTGGTGTGTGTCCCACACCCCTCCCCAGTGTTCCCTCTCTCCACCCTCTGTGTGTCCCACATCCCTCCCGGTGTGTGTCCCACATCCAACCCCGGTGGCCTTTCTCTCCACCCTCGCTGTGTGTCCCACATCCGTCCTCAGTGTCCTCCCGTTCCACCCTCTCTGTGTGTCCCACATCCATCCCGGTGTCCCCTTTCTGTATCCCCAGTGTGTGTCCCCCATCCATCCCGGTGTCCCCTCTCTCCACCCTCGCTGTGTGTCCCCCATCCGTCCTCAGTGTCCTCCCGTTCCACCCTCTCTGTGTGTCCCACATCCATCCCGGTGTCCCCTCCCTGCATCCCCAGTGTATGTTCCCCATCCATCCCGATGTCCCCCCTCCATTCCCGGTGTCCCCCCCGCTCCATGCCCGTTCCTACCTGCCGAGTGGCGGCCGGCGGTGCCTTGTTGCTGCCGTCGAAGGGGGGTGCGGGGGCGGCGCTGGCCTCGGCCCCCCCCGGGGGGGGGTCCCTTGATGGCGTTGGAGCTGAGGCCGCCCCCGGGAGCCGCCGCCCGCCCCGCCGGGGCCGCGCAGCTCAGCGCCGCCAGCAGCGCCACCAGCCCGCGCATCCTGGTGCCCGCCGTGCCCTCCCGTGCCCGCGGTGGCCCCGAGCAGCGGCTCCCTGCGCTCCTCCGCCGCCTTTATACCCCCGGGGCCGCGTCCTGCCCGCCCCCTCGGGGCGGGGGGCCCGCCGGCTGGGATTTCAAAGGCTTCCCGAGGGGGGGCTGTGCCCACGAGCCCCCAAAACCGCCCCC